TATTTTTTTTTTTTAATTTCTCAGTCCTTTCTGGGCGACCTGCGTCTGTTTGATTTCCTACTCGCTTCTAAGCTAGCGATTGGTGAGAATGGTTATTAATATATTACCCTATGCACTTGTAAATCGGACAGTCATACCGCAATTGTGTTGAAACATTTTTGGGGCAGTAAGTAACGTCAGAATATTGTTTAAAATAAAATATTCCATCCCAATCAAATCTAGGTCAAAGGGTCAAAGTGCGTGCATATAATTATAGATAGTTAAAAACTAAATATATTTGAATGTTTGACCATATACCCTCTACTGGATTGTCTATGGATTGACGTACTAGCATGACTGGGTTCAATTATCAGTGTTCACTGATGACGTCATTTGACTGGCCCTCTAGAGGCGAAATGACGCCAGGAAAAGCGGAAGTTTGTCGTCTGCTCCACAGCCCGTTTTATACCCGATATTTAGGGCATTTCGCAGCACATATAAGTTATTTTTATCGACAGAATTCATTCATAGATCTCAGATTTCATGTACAGAGTGTCAAAAGCCACACCTCTGCTTCCCTTTAATAAACCAACGTCCAGTACAATGGGTCACATGATCAAGAGTGGGATTTTTGTCTGTGCCTCAACACATTTTGTCTATATGTAGATTCATAATCAGACATAGCTTTTATCATATGCAAATTAGTAATCGCTGCATTTGATTGCGCGGTTTGTCATAATATGCATATTAGTAATAACTACTGTTTCGGTTCGTGCTCATGCGGACTGGTAATTCAACACTTGTTAGTGTCAGGCATTTTTGAACTTGAGTTTGGCCTAGGGCCAAGGTTTAGAATTTTAGATGTGAGTGAGAATTCATATTCATACTTTATATTGGAGTCAGTAGCTATTATTTCTACTCTAAAGTTTTGTAGGAATGAATACAGAGGGGAGGCAAGGGGGTAGCTGGTACGGTTTTACGGGAAATAAAAAGGGCGTTTTACAATTTACAATGAAAAAAAACGTTTTTACAGTTTACAGTGTTAAAAAAAGGAACATTGAATGGTCCGAAGAGCTCTCCGGCTCAAATTCTCCGCCATTGCTGCGCCGTGTGTAGAGATGCACGCGCATATTACCCTCGTAGTGCTCTTCATACGGTTAGAGGGCCTTTTACGTCTTGACTTTCAATTTTATAGTGAATTGTGTCATCTAGTCGTTTTACAGTTTCTATAATGTAATTTCCCTGGATTATTCTTTACGATTTTTTTATTTGGATGTAAATTCTTGTACGTACCGAGAAATATGACACATTTTTACAGTGTACGAAAAAAATATTTGATCGATTACGTTGTACGTCTAGCCTGTGATTACAGAATTA